AAGATAAGTTGCACTTGACCAAAATTTCATTTTGATTCATAATTTGGTCCTTAGACTTTAAATCTAATTTCAATTTAATTATTCCGTCTCATGAGGTGTACACATAGAAAAATTTAACAAAAATTTGGATAGAATGACCAAATTAAACTCAAAATTAAATTGTAGGAATCAAATTGTTTAAATTAAAATAACACTAAAGTGAAATTTACATCAGATTATAAGAATAAAAAGTACAATTTATTTTATTTTTACATACATATACCAACATTGACCACCAACAGTGATTAAAATTTCTCATAATAATAATTATTAAGACAAGAACTCAAAGTCTAACACGATAAAAATCTCTTGGATGGGTAAGTTGACCCAGGACCAAAGTGACTTTCTTTTTTAGAGTAATTTACTGTCATCTCTCTCAAGAACAACTAACTTTATAATTTTGATATAATTGGAAAGGTTATTTTAATTTATTTTTTTAATTTTTTTTACAAAAGATATGTATGAAAATAGATAGAGTGATGTGATTAGGTATTTCGTCTTATTAACTATTGTAACTTCTTTAAGTTTTTTTTGAAATATAAATTTCATAACAATTTAGTTCATATCATTGGGCACACCTTTTGAGGGCACGACTTTTGAGGGCTCGATATCTACATCCATGTATATTTTTTGGGCAGCCTATATACACACTCATACAGTGTCTTCTACACCAGTCAGCTTTATCAATCCCTTTGTTTCAACCTCAAATAGGTTTCTATCTTCACACCTATTTGAGTTTGAGGGGGGGTTATACACAGTATCATGTATAAGTCGCTCATGGCGCACTCCCTAAGTCGCCTCCTTGGTACACCACCACAACCTTTACTACAACGGTCCGACATGACCCCGTAAACTGTTCTGCTACAACGGTCCGACATGACCCCGTAAACTGTTCTGCTACAACGGTCCGACATGACCCCGTAAACTGTTCTGCTACAACGGTCCGACATGACCCCGTAAACTGTTCTGCTACAACGGTCCGACATGACCCCGTAAACTGTTCTGCTACAACGGTCCGACATGACCCCGTAAACTGTTCTGCTACAACGGTCCGACATGACCCCGTAAACTGTTCTGCTACAACGGTCCGACATGACCCCGTAAACTGTTCTGCTACAACGGTCCGACATGACCCCGTAAACTGTTCTGCTACAACGGTCCGACATGACCCCGTAAACTGTTCTGCTACAACGGTCCGACATGACCCCGTAAACTGTTCTGCTACAACGGTCCGACATGACCCCGTAAACTGTTCTGCTACAACGGTCCGACATGACCCCGTAAACTGTTCTGCTACAACGGTCCGACATGACCCCGTAAACTGTTCTGCTACAACGGTCCGACATGACCCCGTAAACTGTTCTGCTACAACGGTCCGACATGACCCCGTAAACTGTTCTGCTACAACGGTCCGACATGACCCCGTAAACTGTTCTGCTACAACGGTCCGACATGACCCCGTAAACTGTTCTGCTACAACGGTCCGACATGACCCCGTAAACTGTTCTGCTACAACGGTCCGACATGACCCCGTAAACTGTTCTGCTACAACGGTCCGACATGACCCCGTAAACTGTTCTGCTACAACGGTCCGACATGACCCCGTAAACTGTTCTGCTACAACGGTCCGACATGACCCCGTAAACTGTTCTGCTACAACGGTCCGACATGACCCCGTAAACTGTTCTGCTACAACGGTCCGACATGACCCCGTAAAATGTCTGCTACAACGGTCTGACACGACCATACCGTGTCTCCTATCCTGTTTTATTTATCAGTTTACTTTCCTGTTTTGTTACTCTCTTCAAACTCAAGTTGGCTAGTACCTATCCTCCTTGAGTTTGAGGGGGGCTGTTAATATATAATTGTTAATTTATAATTGTTAATTAGCTTTAGCTTTAGTATATAAATTGTATAGCTTTAGCTTTATTCCTTTTGTTACTTTCGGTGCATTTAGCATCCTATGTACAACACTCTCCTCTCTATAAAAGAGAGTGAGCTTCTCCTTGTGTAAAACAACAATCTTGTAATCAATCAGATATCAATCAATAAATACATCAATTTTAACACAACACTCCCAAGTATCCCCTCAAGATTATTTTCTCTATTTCTTCTATCCCTCATATTATATGGAAAGAGATCAGCATATCTATTTGCCTGTTGTTTCTTCAATAAAATTCTCATGAGGTTAGGTTGCATCAATGACAGATCTAACTAATTATGATTTTTTCTTCTTTGAAAAATGACTTAGACAAGATTTAGAAAACTGATTAAACCAGTGGGTTCAGTCACTTACTAGTTTTCATCAACTTCTGTTGCTCTTTGGTAATCAAATTTTAGAGGATTCGCTATCTTATTTTGTTTTGATTGTTTCAATTTCATTCAGGTACAACTTGGCAGTTCCCCTCTTTACAAGTTAGATAGAAAGCTGGGCAAAGGGGGCTTTGGGCAAGTTTATGTTGGAAGACGGGTGATCGGTGGATCAGGGCACACTGGCCCTGATGCTGTTGAGGTATATGGTTTGTGAATTTGTTCTCATGGCTCCACTAGATCTCTGTAAAATTTCTTTGAAATTTATTCCGATGGTTATGAATGTGTCCCTTATTTATTTATTTATTTATTTTTTTGGGGGGGGTGTCAATAGGTTGCTTTGAAATTTGAGCATTGAAATAATAAAGGATGCAGTTATAACCCGCCTTATGAGTGGCAAGTTTACAGGTATGCAAGATTTCATTGGTAAGGTTGATTGAACTCCATTTCGCTTCCCTTACAAATTATAAATGACTGGTTTCAAAGTCTTATTCTTTATTGTTGGTTTCTTCATGAAGCACTCTTAATGGTTGTTATGGAATTCCTTTGGTCCATTACAAAGGTCGCCTAGGAAACTATTATATTCTTGTGAGTTTTCCTTTATTTTCTTTCGCAAGTCTATGATTTCATTTTGAAACTGTTTCTTGTTCTTTTTTATTTTAATTTTCACTGCTGACATTGTGAAAATCATTCCTACTATCATTGTGCTTATTATATTGGGTTTTGTGAAAGCCAGGTCATGGATATGCTAGGCCCAAGTTTGTGGGATGTTTGGAACACTAATAACCAGATGTAAGAAGATAGTATCCTTCGTTTTAATTGTTCATATGTTAATATTTGTTTCCATTTCTTATTGTGTTTGCTTTTTGCACAGGCTATCTGAAGAGATGGTTTCTTGTATAGTACTAGAGGCAATATCAATCTTACAGCAGCTTTACTTTAAGGGGTACCTCACTCTCTCTCTCTTTCTCTCTCATATGTATATATGCACATGTATTCTGAGCATGCTCATAGTTAATTTTATTTGGTGATTGATGGTATAGGCACTACAAGTTAGTTTTTGCATAAGTCTCATCTGCAATATATATATATATGTATACAAAATAGTCTCACTTGCATGACAAATCCAACACGAATGTTTTGACATTCTGTTTAACTAATGTAAGAGTCAATGCATAGTTGGTTCCAAGAAGTCAATTGAGAAACTTCCCAACTAGAGATGGAAGGGGAGAATATTTCCGATCACAATTTTTGCTTAGTTGTTAGTGATGAGTGTTATTTAGTACATAACCAGATTAAACTGGTATGGTACGATTAAAACCAGAGGGTGTTCACTTCAAGTTAAAAATATTCTTTGATTATTTACAGTAATAGTGATGGTGCATATAGTACATAACTACATCAAAGTCTGAGAGAGTTTGGTGTTTGGTTAAGTTGAAACTCTCATGTATCTAAATTAGTGCATTCAATATCTTGTGTATTGTAAATTAACCATTGTTGCTTATAAAATGGGTTTCATAGCAGTTGTCTCTGCTTTCATTTGCTTGAGGAGCATGAGAGGAGATTGGAGAGCATTGCTTACTGTGAGTATTTTGATAATGGATGGCCCTGTACCCGCTCTAACTGCTATGGGACCTTGGAATCATCTCTTTTGGTTCAGTTTAGTTGTTATCATTCTGTTCCTTGTTTGACTATGTAGTAAGTACCTGAAGGAGTTTTCATTGTTTGAATATAATTGTTTTCCTTCTTCAACTTTCATTTTGAGGGTCTGGTCCTGTTTTGGTGTTTTTTCCCTTTTTTTTGGTACATAGTCTTTCTATTATTTTTTACATGCAACTGACCATCTTTTGTTCCACCTATTGCAATTGTAGCCTTCAATTTTACGCTTCTTATCCCAATTGAATAAACAGGGTCCTTATTAGAATAATTTTTTTTTTAAAAATCTTGTCAGATTAGTGATCAATGTGGAAAAAGTGCTTATATCATATTTTTTATTATATTTTGATCTTTTTTTGTTTTTGTTTTTTGTTTTTGTTTTTTTTTTTTATAAAATCTTTTTTCGATACTTTTTGTCTTGTAAATGTCTATTGATTGAAAATTTTATTTACAAATTATTATTTTGTTTATTATGATCTTGAATTTTTTTTAATGCCTGTATCTGTTTGATAGTGTAGCAAGTGTCATAAATTTTTTACACAGTAATTTCAGTCAAATATTAACACATAATTATATTGTCATTAATTATTTTTATTTTTATTTTTCAAATATTTCTCATGTAGGAGTGTGCTTCTTGTGGAATGCATGCCTGTGGAGAATGTGGCTAACTTTTGTTTTTGTTATCTATGAAGAATGATGAGAAAAACATTTAATTTTGGTTTATATTATTTTGAATTATGAACAAAATCATGTATTTAAACATTATATATGTATTATGGAACATTATGTAGTGGGATAATTTTGTTGATGTGTAATTATGAATGGAATAATATTTTATTATGGAGAAATTGTTATTTTTATACAGGAATTTTTATATTATTATGGGAAAATTTTAATATTTTTAATAATTTTATCGCATGATATTTTTTTCTTTTTTGCGACAGCACTACACCGTCGCAAAAAACGGAAAATTTTAATATTTTTATTGATTTTGTTACAAGTTTTACTTTTTGTGACGGCACTAAACTGTCGCTGTAGGAGTGTGCTTCTTGTGGAATGCATGCCTGTGGAGAATGTGGCTAACTTTTGTTTTTGTTATCTATGAAGAATGATGAGAAAAACATTTAATTTTGGTTTATGTTATTTTGAATTATGAACAAAATCATGTATTTAAACATTATATATGTATTATGGAACATTATGTAGTGGGATAATTTTGTTGATGTGTAATTATGAATGGAATAATATTTTATTATGGAGAAATTGTTATTTTTATACAGGAATTTTTATATTATTATGGGAAAATTTTAATATTTTTAATAATTTTATCGCATGATGTTATTTTCTGCCGTCGCAAAAAACGAAAAATTTTAATATTTTTATTGATTTTGTTACAAGTTTTACTTTTTGTGACGGCACTAAATTGTCGCAAAAAATAGAAATTTTATTATTTAAAACAAAAATATTATTATTACTTTAATACTTTTTGCGACGGCAGTACACTGTCGCAAAAAATAGAAATTTTCATATTTTTAATACTTTTTGCGAGGGCACCACACCGTCGCAAAAATAGTGTTCTTGCCATTGCAAAAAAAAAAAGACTATTAGCGACGGTATTTTTTGCCGTCTCAAATAACATTTTTAGCGACGGTAAAATAGTGTCGTCGCAAAAAGTTAAGAAATTTCAAACGTTATTAGCGACTGTAAAGTGCCGTCGCAAAAGGTTAAAATGTCGTCGCAAAATATTAGCGACGGCACTGTGCCGTCACAAAAACTCTTTTGCAAGGCCTCCAGTTGCGACCTCCCTCTTGCCGTCGTAAAAAGTCATTTGCCGTCGCAAAAAAGTTTTTGCGACGGCATTAGGAGTATTAGCGACGGCATTTTACCGTCGCAAAAAGATGAAATTTTAGTAGTGTTTCTTTTATATAATTGATATTTTAATTTAATTATTATGATATTTAAAAAAAATTATTTCGATATACAAGCAAATAAATAAATAAGATAGAATGTGCTTAATTAGGATTTTATAGTATAAAGGACATCAAATATTTTTATAATGTCTAAGCTCTTTTAACATCTATCTAAAGAAATTCTCTGGATTCCAATCTAGAAATTTTCTCTAGATTTCCAAAGAATTTATCTGGTTTTCGCAAGAATTTCTTTGGGTTCAAACCAGAAAAAAGGCCTGAGATTGTGTGCTTGAGAATCAAACAAAGTGGGTTGTTGGTGGTGGAAGAGAGGTGGTGGTGGTTGTGGAGGAGGTGGCTGTGAGTGGTTAGAGATGAAGCCAAAATTGTGGTTCAAGAAATGAGAGATTGACTCGGTCCGTGAATTATGCTCTTCATCTCCACCACTTGAAGATTGCATATTTCCACCGTTTCCGGAATCCATTTGCTACTGAAAAAGAGAAATAAAAGATGATATATTAAATAAATAAATAAAAAGGGCCAAACCTGTTGAGAGATCGTTGTAGTTCCAAAAAAAAAACAGAGAATATAAGAGAGAGCATAAAGAAAATTCACACAGTCATCACAGCCAAAGAAAATTCACAAAATTACAAACAATGATCACAACCAGAGAAAATCCACACAGTTCTCATATCTAGAGAAAATTCACACAGTCTAGAGAAAATTCAATCTGATTTGCCCACACTATATCTATATCTATATATATGAACATATCTCAACCTCTACTCAATTTCTTTTCAATTCCACATTTTCTTTTCTTTTAGAAAATTTCCCCACAAAGATGTGTGGTTTGATTGATCTCAATACCGTCGATGACGACGATGACTACTCTCCTCATCCTCCTTCTCCACCACCACATCTAGAGAAAATTCACAAAATTACATATACAGAATTTCTTTGATTCAAACCAGAGAAAATTGAAATTTCTCTGAGTTTGAAGACAATCTGCAGAATTATAAATTGAATCATAGTATATAGTGAAAAGAATTAATTGGCATATCCACTGTGGGAAAGTTATATGATTCTATTATAGCACATGTAGCTAGGCTTTCATGGATTGTATGAAATGGAGCTAATGTTTTTCTTGAACTGAAGAAGGTTCAATGATGGGTTTTTAAGAACATCAATAAATAAATAAAAATTTTATAAACCAAAAACAATGATAGATTATCAAATTGTCTATCAAGTCTGCACAAATCTAGTCCTATTTAGTAACAATTAATCTTATTTGCTTTAAATCTAGACCTCACCAGATTTTCTTTTTTTTTAAGCTAAACTTGATTCATGCATTCTACATGGAAGTCAAAGAGTGGAAAATGAATATGCATGTTTCCATACACATTTCAAGTTACATTTCTAGAACAATTGTAGAGTTCTCCATTCATGTATGAAGTAAATATCTAGTATTGGAGATATGTAAGCATTATAACATCAGACACAAATTTTTCTAAAAGAGAACACAGAAAAATCCAAGGAAAATTAAGATTTCTTTGATTTTGGACTAGTTTTATTTGATTTACTCACAATTTTCTCTGTGTTTTGACCAAATCATAAAAAATTGTGTTTTGATTCAATCAGAAAAAATTGATTAAAAAGCCAACACAAAATGGACTAACCATGAAGATCGTCGAGTTCGATTACCATTGTTTATTCTAATCACATTTCTTTATATATTCTTACCCATTTTATGATTTGTATTTTACAACTTTCACAGCTGTTCATCATTGTTTATTTGTATTACCAACTAGTTATTTGTGCTATAGGTGCAAACAGAAAGTACCATAGACTAAAAATTCATAACAATTGAATAGTTAGGGTACACACTAGCCTCAGTGAACTTCTTGAGAAGCTCTTCATGTCTTTTAAACTTTTTCCCAAACACTTGAGTTGGTTGTGATGTGTCAACTTCACTGGAGCTAGATTTGTTCTCGAAGAAAGGCGCCTGGGTGAACATGTCGTTCACATTGCTATTGTTGATGCAAGATCCATATGTTCTCCAGAGAGTTCTAGAAACTTCTTTGTAACAACTTCAATGTGAACGGAGATAGAATCGGTCGAAACAACAGTGAGAAGATTTAGCAGGAGTGTTGGTGACGATCGTTGCCATCGAGCCAAACCCTAATCTCCCCACCATGGATGAAAAGAAAAAAGAAGAGAGATTGAGGGTTTGAAGAGAGAGAGAGAGAGAGAGAGAGAGAAGGAGAGAGAGATACAGAGACAGAAAGACAGAGAGAGAGAAAGAGAGAAAGAGAGAGTGAGTGAGTGTGATATATGGAGGGACCTTAGACTACAAAAAAAAAATATTGTGGACCTCTCCCATTATTAAAAATAAGAGAGGGACCTTAGACTAATTTTCTCTTTAATCTATGTTTTTTTTTTCTTAATCCAATCATAACATATTTATATTTAATCTTTTAAATAAATTTTGTGTAGTTGTATTTCTACATGTTTTTATTTTCTAAATAAAAATAAAAATAAAAATAAAAATTAAATTAAATAATTCGAATAACTTTTAATTTTATATTACTAATTCTCTTTCTAATTTAACTATTATTTTTAATATCAAAATAAGTGTTTATTTTACTATTTTATAATTTAACATATATCATATAAAATCATTATATAATAATTACATTTTTATAGCACAATAGAACTAAAATGATCAAAATAATCAAATAATTTAACTAAATTTATTATATACAAATATTCAAATAATAATTTTATAAAACGATAGGGCTAAGATTATTAAAATAAATAATTTAAATTTTATTTTAAATTAAAATTAATATTATTATTTTGTAACACATATCATAGTATAAAATATAACTCCATTGTGATTTTATATCTGACATCATATTTCTAAAAGTGATTTACATTTACGCGTAGCGTTCAATTTGATATTAATTAATTAAAATAATGGAGCCCAATACTTTTTTTTGGTCAAGTTTTTAGAAGATAAATTGACAAATGTCAAATGATAAATAGTGTGGAGTATTATTAAAGAATAATGATTCAAAAAAAATGATTGTGTATATTCAAAGCACCTATTGATGTTTCTTGAATAATTTTTAAATAAAAAATTTGGATTTACAGTATTATTGATAATGCACCTTCAAAAGCTCTATTAGAAAATATATGCAAAAATAATTTGGCAGGAATAGAAATTTTGCGATTATTATGATGCGTTACATAATTAATTAAAATCTTTTTGAAAACTAAAATTATTAAAGTTATAGACATTTTGTACTTGATTCCCTTTATCATATAAAAATATTATAATAGATTATAATCAAACATCACTTGAATCATAAATAAAGATGTTTTGCACCACTTTAGACATAACCAAAAATATAAGAAATTAGCAAAGATATTTTCGATTAATAATTAAAATAATACAATGAGTTATAACTAAGTCATAATTTGTATATTATAGAATTTTTTGTTATTTTTATTTTTATTTTTCTTTCAAGAAAAAATATTTTGATACAAGCGGAATTCATGATTTTTAGTAGATTTGATTAACATAAATAAGGACTTGATTTCTGGTTTAGAATACACCTTCTTCTTTTTTTTAACTTTAAAATAAATTATTTTTATGAGCATATTTTATATAGAATCACACACGGTGATAACAATTTTCATCAGCCATTAGCAAATCTATTTGTACATCACATGGGTCACCAACTAGTATATGTTATTAAAATAGTGTTTTTTTTCCATATTTATGTGACATATTATAAAGGCTTACTTTTTTTTAAGAAAGTTACTTCAGCATTTATTTTCTTAATTATATATATATAAAGTTCTACACAAACTCAAACATAATTTAAATTATACTAACTTTACTTATTTTATATGAACTCTATTTGACAAATATTTCTTTTTCATATATTTTTCATCATAAATTGAGATAATTCACAAATCCAATACCAATTTTGTGTTTCACGTTTTTCTTCTTAATTCTTTTAAGGGATTAGGATTTTTTTTTTTAATGCTAAATTGTCTCTCTTTTTTTCTTCTTATTTTTCTATACATTATGTTATACCCAATACCAATTCTATATTATGGATTTGTCATTTAAATTTTATAATGATTCTATATATGAAATCATATTTCATTTCCTATATTATTTTATATAATCACAACTTATAGGAGGAAAAACCCGCACAACAAGGATACTCTCGAGGAACTTTTAAAGTTTAGATTTATTGCTTAAGTTGTTTTTTCAATTGTTGAACAGTAAGTTCTTTTACATTTTGACATCATATTACATATGATTAATCACTTCACACACTGAGATGTATATATCATTTGGATGTTTTCATTATTTTTTCTTTTTAGGTTTAGATGTTATTATGTGATTCTTTCTTGGTTAGTCGTTGTTGAGTTTCTTTTATATAGTTGATATTTTAATTTAATTAAGAGTATTTATTTTACAATCTTATAATTTAATATATATATATAGATATATATCATATAAAATCATTATATGATAATCCAACTACAAAATATTTATATTTAATTTTTTAATAAATTTTATATAATTTCTATTTTTACATATTTTTATTTTCCAAATAAATATAAAAAAAATTTAAATTGCTAGAATTACTTTTAATTTTATATTACTAATTCTTCTTCTAATTTAACTATTATTTTTAATATCAAAATGAGTATTTATTTTATTATTTTATAATTTAATATATATCATACAAAATTATTATATGATAATTACACTTTTATAGCGCGATAGAACTAAAATTATCAAAATACACAAATAATTTAACTAAAATTAACATATAAGTATTCAAGTAACAATTTTATAGAACAATAGCATCAATATTATCAAAATAAATAATTAAAATTATATTTTAACTTTAATTTTAATTTTAAATTAAAATTAAAATTATTATTTTATAACACACATTGCACCATCAATTATTTTTTTGTTAAAAAAAATAACACGTGATTGCATAAGTCAACCACTAATTTTTTATTTAAAAAAATAAAAAAAATAATATGACAATGACAATTTTAATGATGAATGTTTATGTGATATATTAAAAAGTCATGCCATTTTAAGTAAAAAAAAAAAATCTTTTTGTACAACATGATTCCTATTTTCTCAAACACCAACCCCCCCCCTAAAAAAAAAAAATGTAAATGGTATGAGGAAAAGTTTTGGCTCCATTTGATTTATATAAGTTTTGAATTGTATTTTGAAAGATAAATTATTACAAAAGAGTTTTAAAAGTTAAAAATTTATTTAGTTATGAGTTTTAAAAATAGTTTTGAAATGATTTGTATTTATTTATTTATTTTATTGAATAAATAGGTGTGAGAGAGAAAAATTAATTAATTAATGTGTAGAATATGAAAGAATGAGGGAAGAGAAAAAAGAAAACATAGAGAAAAAGTGATTGATTTATTAATAATAATAAATAGAGATGGAGAAACGGGAGAGAGAGTTTTCATAATTAAACCAAACATTATTTTTATTTTCCCCCCTCTCTCTATACGTTGTAGATAAATGGATAATTCAAAAGTGCTCGCAACAAACAAACAGATGAATTTGATTCTTTAGAATTTCTGCACCTTCCACTTACATATCACTACAATATATAAAAGTTTTAAATATCAAATATTTTAATTTTTAAAAGTTAAAATTTTGTTACAAAAGATAGTTAAGGATCAATTTCTATCGTCATAAGAATAGTCACTAAAAGGTCGTTTCGAAAAGTTAAAAACAAAACTTTTAGCTACAAAATTTTGAAAATGTCACTAATAAATAGTCTTTGAAGGACAAAATAATTTGGTCTAAAAATGGTTTATTTTTTGAGACAAAAAATTTAGTCCTAAAAAGATAATAATTCATCACTAATATTTAATTTTTGTTACTAAAAATATAATAATGATACTTTTCGCAACAAAAATATTTGGTCTCCAAAAAATAATTTTGTCCCTAAATTTTGGTCTCTAAAACCTTAATTTTTTGTAGCGTATGAATCTTGTTCCATTACTATGCTTGTAATATCTTATATGAATCAAATTATAAAAACTAAATAAAATGCTCTTAACATTTTAATGATAATCTTTTTCTTGGATAATGTTATAGATATTAAATTTTCTACTAAATAAATGACCAAATGTCTTACATAAGTACGGAGTCTACAAAAGTGTGAGATTCACACACATGTAAAATATTTAGCCATTTATCTAATAGAAAATTGGAGATTTCTTTTTTCTTTGCTATGTATCATTATTTCCTCTTTAATGACATTTATTATTTACTCTTAATTTATGCCCTTACATTTCTACCCATTACGGATGTGTCTTAATTGTAAATTATACTCATTTTAAGTAGTATTCATTTTATATTAATTTTAAATTTAAATCTTTATTATGGAAATCATTAGATAAGCCGGAAATATTATTGGATATTATTTATATGATACTCCAACTATTAAAAATTTGAGTCAAGCTTGGTAGCTCGAATTTACAGCGGCCCGAATGACTCGAGGTGCCAAAATGACGTGGTTTTGGCATCTCTTTTTTTTTCTTCTTTTTTTTCTTCTTCCTTTCCCTCTCTTCCGTCCTCTTCTTCCTCTGTTCTGAATCCAAACTCTGTTTTGAATCCAAACTCAAATCAAAATCAAGATCATTGTTTTTTTCTTTTTCCCTCCCCCCCTCTTCTTTCTCTTCTTCCTTTTCCCTCTCTTTTTCCTTCCTCTTCCGGCCGGCCAACAAATTCGGAAGAAAAGCAAAGAGAAAGAACAGATTCAAAAAAAAAAAAAAAAAAAAAAAAAAATTTGTTGAAGTGGGGACTCTTGTTGGCGTTAGAGCATCTCCAATGCACTAGGCATATAATACTTGTTAGTTAAAATGCCTAGTGTGATTCACTTTTTTCAATTCCAATGCACTAGGCATATGATTAGGCATTTTGCCTCAGCTCATATTCACTAGCTACATGTAGCTAGCCTTCAACGCTAGGCAAAATGTATTCAATCATTAGGATCATTTCCCTCCATCTTTGTTGTTGATGTGACATTCTATAAAATTAATAGTATTTGGATAAATAGCTAAAATAAAGAGCATGGTTGGAGTAAAAACATAAAACAGTTGATAGGCAAAATAAAATATATACTTTATAGTAATATTCAGATAGGTAAAATGCCTACTACCGTTGGAGATGCTCAGAGAGAGAGGGGTCGGGCCATTCGAGCCCTTCTTTTCTCGAGCTACGAAGCTTTACTGTAAAAATTTGTAACAAGTGAATCATTTTTTTATTTTTTAATAATTTAACAAAAGTAAATCAACATGTTTTTAGTTATGCTTATACAATTTATTTGAAATATCACGTAAATAATATCACATAATATTTCCCTAAAACATATATTCAACTTTTAAAGTACTTTTCAAAATAAAATTTTGGTTATTCCTATTGAAAAATGATAAATAAGTCTATTTTTTATATTTAATGATGTGTCAAGAAAATAATTGATTGATAATTAGAGAATAAATAAAAAAAATTAACTTAAATGTTTCAATAAAATATCACATCAATGCATCTAAACATTTAATTTAATTTTTAAACCGGAATAGTAATAATTTTGTCATTAATAACGGGTACCTAAACCAAATATTTTGTAATCTGAAGCTTATCCCTAAACCCACTTCAACTTGAGTTGTTTTTGTCTGATCAAAAAAAAAAACTCGAGTTGTTTTTGCATGAAAACCATTTGCCTTGACAGAATACAATATGCAAATTTTCCAGTCAGAAAAACAACTAAATTCAGTGGGCGGTCTTAAATGAGGGAGATAGTCATAAACCTCTGTTCGCTGTTTTCTCACAAAAAGTAAAATCCCAGTCTTTCTTGTCGCCAACCAAACAAGCAAATAAAAAAACGACCCAGCTTGTTCTTTTGTTGTTGAGCAGAGCCCAATTTTGTAGAAGCTCACATTTTCCTCATTTCATGGATTCTCGCGTTTTCCTCTCAGTTTTTCTCTGTTTCCTCTCTTTATCCCCTGCTATCGCTGCTCTTCGGTTCCCAGGACTTCTCGGAGAAAAGAAAACGTATATTTACGCACGCCCCTCTCTCTCTCTCTCTCTCTCTCTCTCTCTCTCTATATATATATATATATATATATGTTTTTGTAATACACATTTGTTGTGTTTTCTCAGACAAGGATCAGTGCTTAAATTGACGACTGGTGTTTCGTCTGTTCCTTTTGATCCCACTCGGGTCACCCAAATCTCTTGGCGTCCCAGGTACTACTATTCTCTCCTCGAATTCGCAAGATTCTGTGGCGATTTTTTACGAGTATTTGGTGTTCATTCATTGTCTTTGGTATTGGTGAGTGTACAGGGCTTTCATTTACAGCAGGTTTTTGACTGATGACGAATGTGATCATCTCATTCATCTGGTCAGAATTTTTTTCCCTATTTCTTTTTCAGCAACCAAATCGGGGAAATTTTTTTTATTTAATTACTTATAAAAGTTATACACATCTTCTAATTTTGGAATATGGGTTTGCTGAATTTGGGTGTGTAGGCCAAGGATAAGCTAGAGAAGTCCATGGTGGTTGACAATGAATTAGCCACTAGTGTAGAGAGTGAAGTTCGGACGAGCTCTGGCATGTTTCTTCAGAAAGCCCAGGTCTTATTCATTTTTAATCATCAATTAATTAAAATCATTTTGGCAACTCGTTAAAATTTTGTTCGAGTTCATAATTTTGATATCATGCTAATTAATTCGTGTTGGAGGTTAGAAAATTTTGAGTGTCGTATGAAAATTACAAAATCTGCTGGGGATTACTAATTGTTTGCTTATCCAATTACATATTTGCCTGTTATGTGGGATACTATGATTTACTCACCAACAAGAAAAAAGAAAAAAAAAAGCCGCGATTGTTATAGATCCCAATGTATGGGATCTTGGGCCTTCTGTAGTGATATTGTCATTTGTTTTAAACACATCAAACTATTTGCAAGATGCAGTGGTATTTTCAACCTTTGTAGTTTGGGAAATAGGGTCTTTGCTGGAATAGGCTTACAATCCTTTTAAATTGGTTCATGTTTTCTGATCAATCTGTTTGTACATCTAAATAAATTGTTTTAGAGAAAGAGTAACTATCAGTTTGCACGAGATGAACCATCAATTTTCTTTTCTCGTTTGCATTTGAACTTGTTCTCCTTGAGACATAAATGCTTGACTTTCTCCTTAGCTCTGTAAAAAAATGAAGAAGATATATCATAGGAATTGATCTCGGATGGTGGATTGTTCCATTTGGAATATGAAACGGGGCATGCTTTTGCTTTTCATACAGTTGAACCTCGAGATTAAATTTCTGTACTTTTTAGGGAGACCTAATTTAACTCAAGAAATGTTCATGCAAATTGCTCATGGCTAGCTATACTAATAGGTAGGTCATTTCTTTGCACCAATTTTTTAAGCCTTATCTCTCTATTTTGGCACCTTACCTTGTTGCCTGCATAAAGGTTAACCAAGAGTTTCTTTGTAAACATTTTGTAGGAGTTGCAATATTAAACACATTTAAATTGTCTTTGTTTCTCTTGTTTCACCTTTCAAGGATGAAGTAGTTGTCGCTATTGAGGCTAGGATTGCTGCTTGGACTTTCCTCCCTGAAGGTATTGTTAGCCATGCTTGTTATCAATGGACTTTATATATATATAGGAAACGAGTTCTTGTAATTTGCTGTAACCTGATGTTGTGATCAGAAAATGGGGAATCCATTCAAATACTTCATTATGAGCATGGTCAGAAGTATGAGCCCCATTTTGACTTTTTTGAAGACAAGATCAATCGAGAATTAGGTGGGCACCGGGTAGCCACTGTACTTATGTATCTGTCTGATGTTAAGGGCGGTGGAGAAACAGTCTTTCCTGATTCAGAGGTATATTGTCTTTGATGATTCTTTGGTTCCTTCACATCTTTTGTTTTCTACTCTAGGAGCTAACTACTTGCTTTCGACTGTCTACAGGCTAAACATACTCAACCAAAGGATGATAACTGGTCTGACTGTGCTAAAGATGGCTATGCAGGTAAAATTGCTTTTGTTATTAACTGTTTCTCTCTAGTCTACATATTTGCCTCACCATGTTTGTCATTTGAGGGAACCTTCCAATATTATTTTTTTCTGGGTACTAAACTGGGGGGTTCATACCATCACAAAAAAACAAAAATGGAGTGTTTGTCCAATATATTTGGTGATTTGAACTAGAGAATGCCTTGAATGAATCTGCCTGTTATATTGGGGCCTCTAAAATTGTTTGTACTGATATCAACATTAAAAACAGCATTTGCTATAAATTATATGCCATTGTGTTGAGATCTCAATAAGTTGTTTCAATGCTTTCATTGACCCATTTGGAAAATCATTGTGTGTGGTGACTGATACACTTCAATTTTTAGTATCACCATAATGCATGCATCACCATGTGAATTGTGTGGAATTGCCTGTTATTTCAGAAAAAAATATGGCAAAAACCAGTATGAAAATTGAGTGTTTGGTGTCTTATGATTCAAGTAATATGCGTAGGTTGGGATTCACTGCACATTTCATCAAGATCCCATATTTGTGTTTGTTTTTCTGCAGTGAAACCTAAAAAGGGGGATGCTCTGCTGTTTTATAGTCTTCATCCTAATGCAACAACTGACCCGTTGAGTTTGCACGGGAGCTGCCCTGTCATTGAGGGTGATAAGTGGTCCGCAACCAGGTGGATTCATGTGAGGTCTTTTCAGGTAACATCAAAGAGCACAAATGGAGATTGCGTTGACGAGAATGAGAACTGTGCTCAATGGGCTGCTTCTGGCGAGTGTAAAAGGAATCCACTCTATATGGTAGGCTCTGAAGGTGTAGTTGGAAATTGTATGAAAAGCTGCAAGGTGTGCTCATCATAGGAATCCTTTTTCAGGCATCTACATCTTCATAAAGTGAAGGGTCGTCTAGATTTTTGTATATAAAAAGAACATTGAACTATTCTTACAAACATAAGAAAGCAAATAATTAAAATAAAGATGAGTTGATAGGCATTGATAAAGTTATACTAGCTGGAACTTTCGTAGTTGCTGATATTTTTTTACATTTTATTTATAGAGAATCGTAATCGATGAATTTCCCTGTGGCCTGATAATTCATTTACCAAATTGTTTTGATGTTTCTCTCTGCCTTCTTTTTCTCTGCTGCTGGTTTCTGCTGAGTTTGGTAAAATATGTAATCCCCTCAGTCTGTAATTAATCCTAGGAATTTGTTTATTCTCACCATAAAGAAAGACAATCTTTACATAAAGAAAGACAATCTTTACAAAGATGCCATGGAGACTGCCCCAGAATCTTGGGACCGCGAACTTGCAGAGGAGCTGCTTTTGCTTGTTTACTTTTTCTTCGGATTTCCATCATCTTTAACGACATTAATTATTCAAAAATGGTATAGGAGTCTACCTTTTAAATTCATTTTTTAAACTCAATGATGTTATTAGAATACTAGAGAGACAAAGAAAATAATATGTATTGTATTTAATGAATTAATCCTATACAATTAAAGACTTGTATATATAGGCTGACAAAGAGTATTCTACTAGAAACCTAAGTATGAGAAAGAATATCTTATAAGAAACCTAACTAACTATTTCCAAATATATTTAGGAAATCAATACATAATATATATAGGAATACCACATATACATTAACATCTCCTCTCAAACTCAAGAAGGATAAATATCTTGAGTTTAGAAAGAGAAACTGAAACATGAAATAAAACTAAATAAAATAAAAGGCAAATATATTGCAAAATCTGAACGGGAGCACAAGGGCACTTGAAATAGATCAGTGGTCAAAACTAATGTTGGGAGACAGTTTATGGTCGTGTCGAACCATTGTAATAACTAATCGAAACTAATGCCGGGACAGTTTAAGGTTGTGCTGAATCGATATAGAAATTGGCTGGAACTAATGCTAAGATCAGAGGCTGAAGCTAATGCTAGGAGACAGTTTATGGTCATGTCGGACCCTTGTAGGAGCTAACCGAAATCAATGTCGGGACAGTTTACGGAGTCATGCCGGACCGTTGTAGAGATTAGCTGATCGGAATCAATATCGAGACAGTTTAAAGGGGTCATGCCAGACCTATGTAGAGAACTGGATGTCAGGACATTTTAAAAGGGTCATGCAAGACCATTGCAAAGATTGGCTAACCTGAATCAATGTCTGGACAGTTTAAAAGGGTCATGTTAGACCGATGTAAAGACTGGATTAGAACCAATAAGTGTGGCACACACATTACTTATGATATGGTGCTGAACGATAATGGCAACAAATTGTAAAGACTAGATATTGAACCAGCAAGCGTAATACACACATAAATTATGACGTGGTGCTAAACGATGGTGGCAACAGATGACTAAGTCTGTCAAGAGGCGGCTTGGATGGTACGCTAGAGGGCGACTTTGATGGTGCGCCATGAGGCGACATGGGTTGTGCACCAAAGAAAGCGACTTGGATTGTGCACCAGCGGAGGCGATTTGGGTGGTACGCCGAGGAGCGACTTGGATAGTGCGTCACAGGGAACTGCTTGAGTTGTGCATATACTGTATAACCATGTTCACCATTATAGGTATAATACTCCCCTCAAACTCAAATAGGTTTGAAAATAGAAACCTATTTGAGGTTGAAACAAAGGGAAAGACAGAGTAGAGCAGAAGTACCAAAAAAAAATATATATGATAGAAATATTTGGGGTAGGAATAAATTAGAGGACAAAGGAAAAGATCACCACGAAGCAATACTAACAAGAAAATATGATAGTAGAATAGGTTGAAGTCCACCCGCCGGTGAAGCGAAATTACTAGGTACTTAACCTAACTCTGATACCATGTTAGAATAGTAGAAAGAGAAAGGAAATAATATGTATTGTATTCAATGAATTAATCTTATACTATAGAAAGCCTGTATATATAGGCTGAGAAAGAGTATTCTACTATAAACTTAACTATGAGAAAGAGTATCTTATAAAAAACCTAACTATGATCATTCCCAAATATATTTAGGAAATCAATACCTAATATATAGAAATACCACATATACATTAATAGATGTGTCAAGAAAATGATTAGTTGATACTGAATCTAAAAAATGAGTTTATATCAATACTTTTAATTATTTACTCTCTTAATTTATGGCCCTAGCCAACTTTTTAGATATAAAGTAATATATTAATTACAACAATATTACAATACATTTATAAATCTACATCACATTTTTTTTAAATATTACTTATATTGCATTAATTTTAAATTTATATCATACAAATTAATTTTTTAAATAAATTTTTTTATTAGATAACATTTTCCCACTTAAACCAATTCTTCCTTTGTATTTCTCATTCATGTGTAACTCAACTTTATTTTAATTATATAAATTTTATATATATTAACTATCTCAATCACACTTGCACTTTCTTTCTAATCGATTTAAATTTTTTTATTGACATTTTTTGGGAAAAGGCTTCTCCTTAGTTGGAAAAATTAATTGGAGATGTTATTCGCCTCCATAGATAATTCAAACTATTCAATGAGTAAGACTTATCGAATACATCGTTCTTGTACAAAATATCTTAGATCCAATATCGATAAGTATTTGATTAGATCACATTTATATTAATAATTTACTTTTAAAATCATATTTATCGTTGACACAAATATGGTATGCTAAAGTGACTATCGATATTAAATCAAAGTGATTTTTTTACAAGAATAAAATACTCGATGAACCTTACACATTAAACGATTTGAATTATCAATGTGAATTTATGATAAACCCACAAATCTAACAATACTCTCCAATTTGATTTCGAACAAGAAAGAAACCTCCCTATTTTTTTAGGGTAACTAGTTGTAGTGCATGTGCATTGCACGTGATTTTTCATCCCGATAAATTTTATAATTTTATATTGATTTTTGAGGATAAATTTTTCATATATAACTGATTTTTCTTTTGGACATCAAACAAACAAAATCAAAATAAAATAACATTGACCTAAAAAAATCAAAACAAAGAAATAGAGAGCACGAAACTAGCCTATAAAATTGGGAGAGGCACCAAAAATCACTATCCTAGAATCACATGTGCCTCATTCCATACAAGTTTAAACGAACTCATATAACTCTAAAATTCAACTCGAAATATTCATGGTGGTCTAATTCACAATGAATAGTTATAGCCGACCGAATGTCAAGTTTGTATTGGATGCCCAAAATTTAAAAGAAAAAAAATATAATATAATATGTATACAACACTATGAAAAGAAAGAAAATTAAGAAGAAAAAGAACCATATCACTTTTGTGTCTTCAAATTGTAGAGAGATTGTTTTTATAGGATAAGACTCTATGTTTTTGTAACTAATGCATTGACTCAGTTTAAATTAAAAAAAAAAAAAAAATAGGATTTAAATTTAAATAGACACATATTCAATTTAAAATAGTCTCATTAACCAAATAACGTTTGATTTAAAACTTCAACAATAAATTTAAAGTTTTTATTTTTATTATTATATTTGTAATTTATATTTTTGTATAGAAATTTTAGAAAACCACATTTAAGTGAACATGAATAAAAGTTTAGCATCACCTAACAATCCCTATAGTTTGGAACTTGTGTTACTTTAGTCCTTATCTTTGTGACACATTTGACTCTGAATTTTGAATCTTTCAAATAAGGACAATTGAAGATACCATTGCTCAATTTCAAGGGCAAAGTCGTCAATTTGATAAAATATAAACTGATTTAACAAAAATAAATGTCAAAAAAATATTTTTTAATTTTTAAAAATTATTTCTACCACCAAAGACAAAATTATGTAAAATTGATAAATCTTTTACACATTTGTTTATTTTATCTACCAAATTAATTTTTATTATGTGTTTGGATGATGATCATGTAATTGGTGATTGCTAGGCTTTTAATGTGTAATCGATATATTTAATATATGAAATATTTTTAGTTTTAAATTTTTTTATTTAATGGATTAGTTTAATAATGATATCAAAATTGTCGCCATATTTGACTTTTGAAAAAATAGAAACTAATTTAATAAAAATAAAAATAACCACCTATTACATGATCATCATCCAAATATATAATAAAAATTAATTTGGTAAAAATAAATAAATAAATATGTAAAAGATTTATCAATTTTACATAATTTTGTCTTTGGTGGTAGAAATAATTTTTAAAAATTAAAAAATATTTTTTTGACATTTATTTTTGTTAAATCGGTTTATATTTTATCAAATTGGCGACTTTGCCCTTGAAATTGAGCAATGGTATCTTCAATTGTCCTTATTTGAAATATTCAAAATTCAGAGTCAAATGTGTCACAAAGTAATGGTATATTCAATTGTTCTTATTTGAAATAAAATTCAAAATTCAGGGTCAAATATGTCACAATTGAAAAGTTAGGGACCAAAGTGACACAAACCCTAAACTATAGGAACCTGTAGTATAATTCGCCCTTGCATTTTATATTTACATATTTTGAATGTTTAATAAAGAATAATTATTGGTGGTTATTTGACAGTGATGGAAATGTGGTGATAGTACCAAAGGCGTGGTGAAATAATGATGCAAAGCTGTGCAAATGAACACCAGCGATCCAAGTGTTACCAACACCAGCGATACTACTGCTATTTCTCTGGAGGAGGAGGACCACTTGATACGCAGCACTAAAAAGATCAAGGGTAGGGAGGCGTTGGAGGATCGAGACATGGTGACCAGGTTTGAATCTGGGGCAGATCTCGAGCCCTCCCTTTCTATTCCAATTGAAATTGCCATGGATGATGCAACTCCTCCTTCCATAGGAACCTTTTCTGCAGGTCCTAAGGCAAAATCGTTCAAAGAAGCGCTTGTAGCCCCGAAAAGTAGTGATTTTTACTTTGATGATACAACGGACACCATAACTTCAGATGAAGGTGACACTAATGGAGATTCCCTCATGCCTGAGGATGTACAAACTGGAATACCCCGAATAGTCCTCCCAAAGCAACTTCTGCATCAGATTCGACAATCGTGGACAAATTCTCTTATTGTAAATGGGCAAAAGCATTGGGTACAAATTGCTCTGTACTAAAGTCAAAAATCTATGGGCCTTACA